CGGATAGACAGGGTAAAAACTATATACATGTACCCCTGAATCTGCGATTACGGGGGAATAAAAAAATCCTTTGGATCTTTTAAAACATGCTTAAAATGTTTAAATTAGTCTATATAGCTACGAATCTCGTTGAGATAACCCCACCTCACCCCAACGAAATTTGACAGATTTTTAATGTTTATGAAAGTAGTTAATGTTTTTTTTTTATTTGGATTAATTGTCAAGAAATTTCTGGGTAAGATCTTTTTGGACTATGCCCCCCCCCCTGGAAAAAATCCCACAAACCCAGTGGCAGAAAAGGGGGGCGCACGCGGCGCCCCCACCCCCCCCCCCCCCCCCTAAAATTGTCAAAGTTAACGTAAATCACAGTTTCGTCTAGAAAATGTAAATATGTCTACTTGGTAGACCTCATTTTTACCCTACAAAATCACTAGAATCCAGAAGCTTCCGGGGGCTTCGCCCCCTGGGCCCCCACCAGAGCTTTGCCCTGGACCCATTGGGGGCCTCAAGGCGGCCCCCAGACGCCTTGCCTACTTTTGGCGCCCCCTGTAACTCCAATTCCTGGATCCGCGCCTGAAACCGGTTGATAATAATTATCATAAAAGATGACAGTGGCAAAATATCGTCATCCATATCCAAATTTCATACATTATGAAGAAAAAAAAACTTGCAAGAATACGCCATCTAACCGCAAGTTGAAATTAGTGACACTCGACCATCTACCCATATGTTTTTATGGGGAGATACGGTAAAAGCTTTGAAAGCGTGATCACGTGGTCAAATAAACAAACATGGCGACATCGGGGTATTCACGAGTACTGCGTGCACTATGATTTTTTTTGCTGGAAGTAATGGTAAGAATTAATGATTATTTTTATTTTGACAGATTAATATGTAACTCGTGAAGAAAGTCACCTGTGGCATTTGGCGGTAATTATGATCTGTTTGGTATTACACTAATTTTCGACGCTTTCACGTTAAAAATGGTTTTATCACTATCAGTGTTTAGACCCAATAGAACTTTTACAGTGACTGTGTTATCGTAGTTATATTGTTTTCATGATTGTCTTTAACAATTTCCATTGTCTCTTGTCTGTTTATTTGGTTTATGGGGAAGAGAAAAAGTTCTTTGATCATGATGTCAGTAGAGTTAACAGTGCCAGTGGTTATGGTAGTCGTCTGTTGCTTTTTTTTTTTTTTTTTTAGAGATAGAGACTGTTCTCCAAATAATTTACTTTACTAACTTTAGTAAGATGGGGTCCCTAATAATATCATAAGCATTTAAAGTTTATTTTCTAATTTAGAGATCCTAGCTTCCTAAATGATTTGCCTACCAAGAATATGAACACTGAGTATGAAAGCCCTACCCCTTGCCGTTCAAAAGTTTTGGTCAAAGTTAAAGATAAATGGACTAAAAGTTACACTAAAAATTACTATCAAACTAATAATAGCAAATCAATAAATATCATCCACATAAAGCCAAAACTTCACATCATTTTCTTTACATTTTTAAAAATTTTGTTAAAATTGGTTTTGAAAAAAATTGCTTCCCACCCACAAGATTGATGTTGAAAATCTTTGGATGAATCTAAGAAAATGTGTAATAATGTTTTAAATTGTTTAGATTAAGTGACCGGTTCCCCTGAATTCTATCATTAAAGTGGGTCCATAGTACACACCATTTTAATGATAGAAAACCCTTTCTACCACTCCTATCCTGAGTTCTCTCCCTTTACATCCCATTACAACAGACCTGTAACTGCCAGTATTGACAATGAGCTCTTTGTCTAATTAGCTTTCTAAAAAATTAAAATATAGTTTTAAAACTTTACATATTATACACCCTCCGGTTCGGAGGAAATAAAGAATGAATGTATGAAAAGTAAACAAAAGTTAGTCTTTTTCAATCTCTGTTATTATGTTCCCCAAACGAAGTTGGGGAACATATTGTTTTTACTCTGTTTCTTATTATTATTATTAGGTCTTTCCACCTTTCTGTGGAAAGACCTATTGATTTTCTTCTGTTTCTTTTTTTTATTATTTTTTATTATTTTTCCGCCGTGTGATTTTGAGTTTCAAGATTTATCAAAAGATTTTTAGTTCATAAGAATGTACTTCATAAAAGATTTTCGCAGTTGACCCTGCCTATATGAACTTTGATCCTTTTCGGAGTTATTACCCCTTTCGCAAGAAAGCTTGTTATCGCTACTCCTCCGAAACCATAAACCGTAGAGAAATGAAACCTTCACTATTGTCTTCGACTAATTTAGTAGACACTCCAATGATTTATTGCGAAAGTATTCATTGACCCCTTCAGTGAGTTATTGCCCCTGAAACTTTTTGAATTTTACAAATAATTAAAAATTTTCAAAACAAGAAGTCCTAGAGACATGGGACCAACTCCATAAGATTTATTGACCTTTGACCTTAAAATTCATGTAAAGGTCAAAGGTCAAGGTCATTCCAAAAATGAGAAAATTAGCTCTTTTTGTATCTCTTTTGTCTTTCAACATATACTTAATGTCTATCCATCAGTGATATGTACTCTTAAAACTGTTTCAAAGATTTCATTCTTGTCCCCTAAGATTAAACCTTTTAAAAGTTATTGCCCCTTGTGCGAAAAACCTTGTTATCGCTACTCCTCCGAAACTGTAGACCCTACAGACACCAAACCTTCACTAATGTCTTAAGGGTCTTTAGACCTAACTTCATTGTTTAAGTGCAAAAGAATCTGATGACCCCTTAAATGAGTTATTGCCCTTTAACTTCTTTGTACTTACTATTAAACCTTATAACTTGAAAACTATAAGTGGTAGAAGCATGGGGTCAATTGCATTGTGACCCTTGACCTTTGACCTTGAATATTTTTTCAAGGTCAAAGGTCAAGGTCATTCTTTTTTTTTTTTTTAATTTTCATTTTTTCTATGCTTTAAGAGAGTTTTGGTTTCTTTTTCATGGAATTTAATTTTTAAGGAGTCAGATATAAAACAGAGTTCAAAGAAGGTGGAAAGACCTCTTATTGTTCTGTGAACAATAAGTCTCCTAGTTATTATTATTTTTCTTCTTCTTCCTGGGTACTTTTTTGTCCGGGAATGATCTCGTAAACTATACATCCGACTAAGGTGAAATGTTTTTAGGGTCAGTAGACATGTTATGTAGATTTGCGGAACGAAGGTCATTTTGCGCGCACGTGCTTGCAAGAGCGTGCACGTGCAACATGTGTAATGACCGATTTAATTGATATAGGCGTAACTTTTTAAATTTTTGATGAAATGCTTTGAAACTTATAATATAAGGGTATATTAGTAGCATAGACATTATGACATGGTCAAAATAGCAAGATCTCACGCGCATGCACGTGCGCTTTGCTCTGATTGGCTGAAACTAAAGTCTCAATATCTTTCTTGTTTTTTGACGAAATCCTTTGAAATTTTGAAAATAGCCATGCATTAGGTTATCCTACAACATGATATATAGCAATTATCATGAAAACACGTGCATGCACGTGCGCTGCAATCTGATTGGCTTAAACTTTAAATAGCTATAACTCCCTTGATTTTCAACCAAACAGGATGGGATTTGGAACATAGATAGATATACTGGACTACTACAAGAAAATATGGTCACCATGCACATGCATACACGTGCATGTATGTGCGCTGCAATCTGATTGGCTGAAACTTTAAACAGCTATAACTCCCTTGGTTTTCAACCAAACGGGGTGGGATTTAGAACATAGATAGATGTAATGGACATCTACAAGAAGGTATGGTCACCATGCTCATGTATGCACGTGCGTGCACTTGAAATGAGCGTATCTTTTTAATGCTTTTGGATTAAATACTTTAATATTAAGTATATTAAAATATATAGATTGTGTAGACAAGATGATATGGTCATTACGCACATGCATTCACATGCGCACGCAAAATTTGAATGAACTTGGTACACTTTTGGGTAAACGTTATTCAAGTCTTAAATGCATCGAGTTTGTCTTATTTAATGAAGCTTACAGGCAATATGGCACCAAAAGGGAGTTGGGGAGCGTTTGGGGAACATCTGTAACGGTCCCCGTTACAATTAGCACTAGTTCATTTCATTTTATGGACAATTGATAAAAGTTGGCGAGTTTGTAGCAACTGTATTAGTGTAAAAGCCTGAAGAATGAGGAATCACCATTTGGCTTGGTATGGTTGTTTTTGAAACAGAAAAGGAAAAAATGAATGACTGGATTGGGAATTGAACCCGGGACCCCTGCATCTCTAGTGAGCTGCTCTACCGACTGAGCTATCCAGGCCGATGTCAGTGGCCCAAACCATTACATGTAATGTTTATCAGTTGCAAAAAACTAGTACATATTTTTTAGACAACTTAATTTTCTTAGCATAATAAGCTAGAAAACCTAAAATCAGTTGACCTATATAAAAAATCTGCACTTTCAAGTTATTTGTGATTTATCAATACCACATATGTTTTTTTTTTTAACTAATTGCTGCAAGGCAGACAGTTTCCCTGAACCAGTTGAGTTTGTCATGTCATTTCTTTTTTTCACTGTTCCTTCTTATCATAGATATATATATAACATATAAAAATAATTTTATTTTCTTTGATTTATGATATCAGTAAGATAGTAGTGCTACTACTTTTGTTACTTTGAGTTATTGTGACAATCTTGAATTCAGTGTATGAGATAGGTCAGTTGGCGCCCATTTCTAGGTGAAATTCACTCCGACTCCACCAGAATTTGCCATTGACATGCTCGTTAACTTCGATTTCTCTTGTTAATTATTTAGTTTAAGAGGTATAGTAAATTTTTCTGCCTGACTGTTTGTAATAAAGCTAAGTTCAAGGCTTTAATGAAAAGGAAATTGGAGGACATTTGAATTTCTGTTTATTACAACTTTTCTTCTGTCCTTCAGTTTCTAAAAATTGATTAAACGTCATGTTTTTCTCTGTCATTCAGTGAATGTAAAAGTTTTAAATGGCGTATTCATGATAAACTGATAATGGCTGCAATCGAGGTGAATACAGCGTGTGTAAAAAGATTGGATTTAAAGTATGGGCATTTTTAAATGAATCGCATTATTGAAATGTATATGATCGATGCAGCGCCCAATGAACTCTTTCTGTAAGATCGATAGAAGGCAGGGGGGATTGGGATACGCGCTAACTCGTAAAAGTTTGTCTCTGCCCTTTTGTTAATATCTGCTTTTATGTGGGTCGCAACCAAACTAAGGTGAAATGCTGCCTGTGTAAATATCTATTCAAGGTTTGCCTGTGTTCCAAAATCTAAGAGCTCTCAGGGGTTTCATTTGTTGATATAATACATACTTCAAAATAGGCCTTTTTGTGCAGAATGAAAATTTCACCTTTACATTTATTTACGGCAAGCAATTTAAAATTGGATGTTTTGATCCTGTTGAGTTCTTGTGAATTATGTAATGTGTGTAATTATCATGAATTATTGTGAATCGTCAGAACTTATTTCGTGAGTTTGGAATAACCTTGTGAATACGCTGTTTCCATGGATTGTAGTAATTAATGGATTAACGATGACAAATGAACAAAACTCGAACATTACATTGTAGTTAATTTTCCTGATAAGGTAAATATTAACTTTTAATTCATAAATAATATTGAGGAATGTAGGAACGAAAATGTCTGTTTTTCTCTCCCTAATCATGCTAATAATTGATTCAAAGTTACTGCAGTGGAGATGCTTTTATTAGGGTCTAAAAATCCCCCACAATTCCTGATGTTTTTGTTAAAGTGGTTTAATTCATTGCCTGCTGTTGAGTAACATTTGAATTATGTTAGGGACTGAGCCTATTGCTGTTGGCAGACTTTATGGGGTTTTAGACCATATATGTCAGTTATGTGTGAATTGGTTGAGGTTAAATTCTTTGGTTTTTCACGGTTGGTTGGTCTGTCCTCTGTCATAACGCTGGCCTATACCCAGCTGCTATAAGGGTAAGCTACCATTAAATATCCACGTTTATAGCAGCATGGTCCAATTGACGTCTTGTCCAGGGATTGTAAACAGCTTTTACAAGATAAATACACTTTGTATGGAATTATCACTTCAGTGGACTTTATGTGGTGGACGAGATTGTCTGTAAGTGATATCACACAATGGAAACACGATTTAATCACCGTGAACAATACACAGGGTAAACAGTGGAGTTTAATGCAGTGATCGCCATGCCATATGACAGTGCACGGAAAAAGTCTCATTGTGGATTAAAACTTTAAAAAGTGATTCTATTGATATGTCCGTACTTGTATTGTGTAAGACCTTATATTTCTGAATTTCATTGAATCTATTTTTTTCCCTGGCCATTAAGGAGTGTGTTAATTGGTTTTCCTGTTATTTTGTATACTTGGATGAATAGACATTACATAAGGCGTCTGATTTAAACACCTAAATTTGTTGTGGAATTTAATTTTCAAGGATTACCCATGCTGCTACATTACAGACGATCTGTGCTTGGAATCTGATTCTGGGGATTTTAACAATGAATCGGTCATAAACCACGCGGAGAGGAGACCAGGTATAGAGTTCACAGCTTCACTGTCGAGTCTAAATATCTGAAAGGAATATGTCTGCCCTGATCTCAAAGCTTTTTTCCCCCGGTTGTTTCATTTAAACTTGCATGTAATTCCAGATTTAAGGCCGTTGACCCCTTTTTTGAAGATGACAGTCTCATTTCTGTGATTGATTATTCGTTCAAATAGTTGGGACATTTTGCAGGGGTGTCATTGCCTTTTGGGTAGTACCCGTTCTTCCTTTGAGGGAAGAAATTTAATCACACCAATACCCATGATACATTGTCCTTCTCTGGTCAATGCTGACATGAAGAGAGAATTAGCAGGGCCTTGCTATAAGGTGGGATATCGAGTTAGACATGAGAGGTAGGAACTGGGAGTGCCTAGTACAACTAGAGAAGAATGTCAACCTTGGGTGATCATTGGAGTCGGACAGTAGACACACAGGGCTAGGAAATCAGAAACCAAGGAATATATTGACTCTTTGAACTTTTTACTTTACTATTGATGTTAACCAAAAAGTTTTCCAAGAGCCACATGAAACAGTATAAGTACTTTATTGTGAACTTACATAGGCAATTTTAGAAATAATTTACTCTTTACCCCTTTACAATGTTCTAGAAAAATTGAACAAGGTAAGCATGACTAAAGGAAATGCTGACAGTTATATTCCCCCAGATGTGGTATGGGGTTAGCATGGTTAGGAAGAGCTGTTCATTGCGTAATCTGTCATGGCGGGTGGGACTACGAAACTTAACTTCTAGGAGATCACCAACTGACTGATTCTACACTACAGATATAGTCGATTTATACACGGTCCTCACAAGTCTAAAAAGCTAAATCTCATAATCCTCTTCCAACGATTTTCACAACTACTTCAAATATTTACTTCCAAATCAAAATGGCTTTAGCTTCTAAAAGAAGCTCATATTTATTGTCTACAATCCAATATATGTATCTGACATACCTTTTTATTTGCGGGTTGATAGGACTATGAAACGTGAGTGGGGGTCGAGGTGGAATTTTGCGAGGTTTGGAATGGATGTTTTTTGGAGGGACAGTCAGATAACAATTTCTGTTCTACGACCATGTTTTGTGACACTTGCTGTTTCTGTCAACTTGGGTGTAGTGCTGTATAAACATCCATGCTTTGCTTTCTATATAGAAATTAGTATTGTCGAGCTCTCGGAGAATTCGTGTATCCGGAGTGTGTCTCCTGCGTTATCATTAAGTAAGCACTCGGGTCATTGAGGGTTATCTGGGTAAAAGAGGTGAAAACATTTTAATGAAGTTTACAGGTTTCAAGGTGTCATTTATATAATTATTTTGTCTGTTTAGGGTAAAATTAAGGACATAGATTTTGTATCCAGGTAGCTGGATGTTTAAGAGTTAGCTTTAACTTAGTTAAGTCAACAAAGAGTTGGAGAAATTCCCGTTAAGCATGTTAAGTGCTCAGAATATCTAGAATATGTAAAAAAGTATTTGTTTATTTTACACACGTGCAAAAAAAAAAATCCAAAAACATATTAAAAAAATTGTATATATTACTTGAACATGAGTCATGATGAGGTGGATTTTAGTTCAAAGGTTTCAGTTAGGGTATTTAACAGCACCTTGTGAATATTTGGGTTCAAATGTAATACTAGACTCCAGTATTATATATTCAAGATGCTTTCTTTATGGTTCTCTAATGTTATGGCTTATTGATGGACCATTTTCTGCAGGTGTTACTTATATTTATGCAGGGACATGTACAGGTAAATTACAAGAACTGAATGGTGAATAATTGATACAAGCCGAGCATAACTGGGTCTTCTAATGGGGATAGTGAAGTAAATTAGAATCCAAGAAACCTTTAGTCATCTCAAGACTTCATATTATATATATAAAATGAATTGAATGAAAATTCTTTGATGACTTTATATTGTCTTTAAGTATGTGAAATTAAAATTTTGGATCATGCCTTGGTCCATTACATATGGTTCTGATAATAGCTATGCAGTTTAAGATTTTATTGTTGCATGAGTAACTTGAGAAGGAAGATTTTTTTAAAATTAAAATTGGTGTAATGTTATGTCTGATAGTTCTGGGTAATAAAACTTGGTGGAGTGTGAAGGCTATTTTATGATATACAGGAGGGGACAGCAAACTAGAATTCAGTTTTCAAAGATTGAGGGTCCGAGACATATTGATTTTACAGCATTGGGCTGTTATGTAGTACATTCTTTTCACAATCAGATAGCTGGGTTTGTTCCTGTTCTTAGATGAGATACTGGTATATATCAATTATATTGAGGTATATCTAATCAATTAATTATCTTATCTTCATTATTTTGAACCAAAAGATTTCAGATGTTTCATATTCTTTTAAACCCTGTCATTATTGACCTGTATACCCTAATTTTGGACTATATGTTGATGGGGAAGGTAGATGAAAAGGCTCATTTCAGTCTTAATTTCCGAAAAAAAAAAACATAGACAGGGCGAATTTGGAACACAGGATGAGGTAGTAATTACCGATATGTAAAAATGTGCCAATTTGTAAGAAACAAGAGGTCTAAAATGATGGCCTGAGCTAGAATCTCTAATCCAGTCATAAGAAACACAAATATTTCAGACTTTATTAAACTTTTTCAAATGATAAACAAGCTTAACATTTAGGTGCCAATCATCTGTCATAATTCCACATCAAATGTAATATGAGGGTTTACTATCAATTTGTTAGATATATGACCAGTATGACGAATGTGAAATCATTAAACTTGCTATAAGTTAAAGGAGATAACAGCCCGGAGATTCAGTAATGGCTGGGGAACTTCACACCAGGTATGTCCAGGTGAACTTTAATACTGTGGTCTACGAAGCTAACGTTAGTATTTGGCTCAAGGACAGGGACCATTAGGAAAATGAGAAAGTTTTGGGAACAAGCAACATTGAATTTTTTTTGTTCCAACACTCATCATTTTTTGTTTATATGTTTATAGGGAGGTTAGGCCTATACTTTTGTTTGTAACGGAAGTAATGTAATTTGCATCAAGATAGATGTCTATTGCTGCCTTATAGATAATGTCTTTTTGCATGGGGATGCTCTTCTTGGTGATGCCCTGCTTTATTAATAAGCTATGACAAATGGGAAAAAATATTCAGTCTGGACAAAAGGTTACTTTTTCTGCTTTGGAGATGGGAACATTTAGCAGTCCCAGTAATCTAGTAAGTCCTGATATTGAGGGTTTTTGAATGAATATTATTGTAGTTCATTCTGAATTGATGCACTAAAACTCTGCATGTTCTCTTGGTGGATTAGGGAGATTTGTGTTTTATCTGTATTTAAATCTCATTGTGTCTGTTGTTTGTCATTGGTGGGATGGTAAGTCAACATTGACTCAACACTTGAGGGTTAGTACAATGATCAGAGTCAGAATTATACCCCCCTGTCTCTTACACCTGTACTTTTAGGCATCTCAGGTGTGATATGATGTCATATAAATAAAGTTTATATAATCTGGAATGTTTGCACCAAGCAGATTTATTAAAGAATGATGTATGCTTTATAGTGGTTTTTTTATGTGAGTTTCTTGTGTACCCAAATTGTTCAAAGTAAATAATAGTAATATTCATTGGTTTCTAGAGCTTAATTATCTACTTATTCCTGAATACCAATATTTTTAATTAGTGATGGAGTATGGACTTGAGATTCTTATGAAATCAATATTTATTGACAATACGGCAATTGTAAGTCACAGCAGAATTATTACGGAGCCGGGTATAGCTCTTAGAGAAAATATTGACCTACAACACAGGTGACTGTTAAGTCATCAATATAGAAACAAATTCCGATATTAATTAGCAATATTTTGTTATGAGAGAGTCAAAATTATAAAATTTATAATGGCAGCATAAGTTTATAATATTGATAATATCACTAAATCATGTAAGTCTAGTTTAAGTCTCCCCTTATACAAAATGTTAAAAAAAAACTTCGTTAAAATACCTTGACTTACAATACAGTCTAGTTTGTTTTCTCTACTTTCAGGATAGATAATGGCTGGATTTGTTAAGAAATGCCCGTGTCTGAGACCAAAGATTCAGGAGGAAATTTACGAGTTAGACTACCGCCACTGTAACCTCACTGATGTCCCCGCGCAGGTGTTTAACTTTGAACGGACGCTAGAGGAGCTATATTTAGATAACAACCAAATTCAGGATTTACCAAGGGTAAGTAACTCATGGCCAAGGACATAACTCTTGGCCAGGGTAAATAACTCTTGGCTTGTCTGTAGATGAAATTCATGAAATTATTTTAGAAACTAGTTTTTGACATGTTTTTTTTAATAAATGTGAAATTGTTCTTACATTGCAATAATGCTTTAACCAAATCTGGTGAAATGTATTAAGAAGTTGATCACTGCATATTTAAACTGGTTAAATTATTTTCTTTATTATTTTAATTTTAGGAGTTATTTTGTTGCCATGGTATCAGGAAATTGTGTTTAAGTAACAATGAGGTGACTAATATTCCTCCGGCAATCGGAAGCTTGATCAACCTTGAGGAGTTGGACATCAGTAAAAATGGTAAAAAAAAAAAATTATTAATTTTAATCATCTTCTGTAAGAAATATCATATTATAGTCACTTAATTGGTTTAGCTTAAATTAAACTGAAGAGGATATCATACGACCTTATTTTTTTTCCAGTATCGAAATTTTTGGTGTTAAATTAAAAAAAGGTTTGCTTGATTTGTCCACCTATACTACAGTTAATGACAATAAGGTATGTCCTTGTGAAATGGTAGTACTGTCATAAAATGCAGACAGGATAAGAATGAAGAAAAGTATTGTTAACTTTTCAAAAGAATCCTTATAGAACTTTATAGCTGCACATTTATGGGAAATTTATGTAAATTCAAATTCTTGTTATCAACAGTCTCAGGAACAAATCTGGGTCTTATAAAAACAGAAATTTCTTTATGCAGATTTTCATTGTGCAGATATTCTTGATTTATGTCTGTCATAAAATATCCATGCATTGAAACTGGAGGTTGATTAATATTTAGAGAGAGAACATGTGTTTTGACTGTGTTGTTTTATTGATTTGGGCACTGTAAAAAGTATGAATTTTGTGCACAGGTTTTTATAACGGTTTGAGAGCAGCTTTATCAATAAAAATGTTTATTGACTGAAACTTCTCTTTATACAAAAGTCTACCTCTCACCCAGCTGACCAAGCTGCACACCTTCATTGTAAAGCATCTTTAATTCGGTCTATTTTATAAAATACTAAATGAGACTACCAGGACTATTCAATTCTTAATAACAAATTTTAGGTCACCTGAGTCACTCAATTAGTTTGTGAAGGGGAACAAAAATTGTGAATTTTATGGTCCTCGCCCCCCTGGGGCCTGAGGGGTGGGGCCAAAACCACTAAAATTAATGAAATCTTAAAAAATCTTCTTCTTTACTCCTGGACATCAAGCAGTCAAACTGTTGGTATGATTGTAATCAGCATTGAGTCCTCTACCAAAATTGTGAAATTCATGACCCCAGGGTCAGGGGTTCTAGTGCTGGGGTGGGGCTATAAAGATTATATAGTGAAACTGCATTATTTCTTTAAAAATCTTCTTCTCTGCTCCTGGATATTAAATAAACTAACTAAGTACATAGTTATGATGAGCAAGAGTGCCTCTTCCAAATTTGTGAATTTCTTGGCCCCAGGGTCGGGGGTTCTAGTGCTAGGGCGGGGCTATATAGATTATACAGTGAAAATGCATTGAATCTCTGAAAATCTTCTTCTCTGCTCTGGGGTATTAAATAAACTAACTAAGTATATAGTTATGATGAGCAAGAGTGCCTCTTTCAAATTTGTGAATTTCATGGCCCCAGGGTCAGGGGTTCTGGTGTTAGGGCTCTATTGATTATGTAGTGAAAATGCATTATTTCTTTAAAACTCTTTTTCTCTGTTCCTGGGTATTAAATAAACTAACTAAGAACATAGTTATGATGAGAAAGAATGCCTCTTCCAAAATTGTGAATTTCTTGGCCCCAGGGTCAGGGGTTCTGGTGTTAGGGCGGGGCTCTATTGATTATATAGTGAAAATGCATTGAATCTCTGAAAATCTTCTTCTCTGCTCTGGGGTATTAAATAAACTAACTAAGTACATAGTTATGATGAGCAAGAGTGCCTCTTTCAAATTTGTGAATTTCATGGCCCCAGGGTCAGGGGTTCTGGTGTTAGGGTGGGGCTCTATTGATTATATAGTGAAAATGCATTAAATCTCTGAAAATCTTCTTCTCTGCTCCTGGATATTAAATAAACTAACTAAGTACATAGTTATGATGAGCAAGAGTGCCTCTTCCAAATTTGTGAATTTCTTGGCCCCAGGATTGGGGGTTCTAGTGCTAGGGCGGGGCTATATAGATTATACAGTGAAAATGCATTATTTTTTCAGAAATTTTCTCCTCTGATCCTGGGTATTAAATAAACTAACTAAGTACATAGTTATAATGAGCAAGAGTGCCTCTTCCAAATATGTTAATTTCATGGCCCCTATTTCAGGGGTTTAGCTATTTGGTGTAAGGAGAGGGGGGCTCTACATTACATTAATTCTTTGAAAATCTTTTCCTTTGCTCCTGAGTATTATGCCAATGATCTTATATATATATATATATATATATTTATGATGAGGAAAGGTGCATATGATCTAGCAAAATGGTTAATTTCATGCCCCCTGGGTCAGGGGTATCGGGGGGGGGGGGGGGGTACATAGTCTGAAAATAAATGAATGCTTTGAAATCTGCTCATTAGTATTAATCAACCATATTTGATGAAATAACATTTATGATGATAAAATTTTGAAATATGTGACCCCAGGGTCTGTGGTTCCTATAGGGTGGGGTGGGGTGCACAATTGCATGGTTTAGAATTGAAGTGCATTTTTCTCTTAGTTACTCTGATCTACTTATGGGTGTTAAGTGACTTATCTAGTAAGCATTGCTAAGTGTATAAGTATGATAAGCAATAGTGCCTCTTTCAAAATTGTGAATTTCATGGCCTCTGGTTTAAAACACAAACCAAATTCAATTGTTGGAAAGTTGTTACATGATACTCAGGTGACCTGTAAGGCCCGTGGGCCTCTTGTATTTATTAAATTTACTTACACTGTAAATCCATTTTTATTCAAGAAAACTTTATATTCACATAAATACACAAGACAATTCGTGCTCATAAAAGTATCACTCTCATGTACATATTTCATGAAAAAAAGGAGTAACGAAAATTTACTACATGTATATATCTACAGTTTATTATATTCCTAATGTGTATCACTCAATTTTACTGTTGATTTAACTCTATCACGTGACGTTGTGATCCGACTTTCCGGATCACCACTATGGTTTTTTGAATCCATACCGTATATCCTTTTTTTTTTGCGTGTTGGAAATTTTGCGAAAAAAGGGTAGATTAGTATAGTTTTTATATTGCATAAGTTATTTTTTACGATTGAAGATTTCTTTTTGTTTAAAATGGTAATGTTTTTATGCCACATTATAGCTGACATAATTGCAAAAAATGCAGAAAATAGATCACCGCAAAAAAAAAAATGGATATACGGTATCACCACTCTCTGAAACTGATGACGTAGTACGCAGAAACATGTCGTTATTTTTCTTGCAGGTTAAAAAGTCCCTCATTATGCATTGTTTTATTGATAAATAGTATACAATTTATCTCTAACGTTTTGTTTTGCTATATTTAGCTAGTTATAAGGGGATATATAATAAATCTTTATCATTATAACAGTAACTTGATGTGAAGAGCTGTATCATGTCTGGTTGACAGGCGCGGATCATCAGATCAAACTAGATCTGACGATCCAAGCCTGTCAACTCGACATGATACGACCCTTCGGATCAAGTTACTGTTATAATAATATATATTATTTTAAAATTATTAAAAAAGGGACATAATTGATACAAAGTAGGACAAAGTTTGATCTCTTTATCACTTCTATGTGTTATAGGTATCATTGATATCCCAGAGAACATCAACTGTTGTAAATGTCTGAGGTCGGTCAACGCCAACGTCAACCCACTGGGAAAGTAAGTATCACTGTTATAAATGTCTAAAATCACCGAACGTCAATCCATTTGAAAAGTAAGCAAAGAATTAAAGATGTTCATAGTCTATCTCAGAACATTTGTCTCAAGATGCAGCGATAGGTATAAAACACAGCATTCTCTCTCCCCATTCTGGCCTTGGTTACTTCGTTTAAATAAAATAGAAAATGGCTGTATAATGGAAATAAGAAGGAACAGCCTTGAAGCTAGAGTTTCTCTAAAATCTTGTCCTGCCATTTTTTGTTAGTCTTAACACAGCCCCACAACTCTTGTAATGAGCTCTACCTTTATACATGGTTGCACTGGATGCCGTGATTGTGTGACATAATGATTACATGAGACTTGGGTGTAATCGCCCGATTTAAATTTCACCATTACCTATACCGTAATTTTCTGCATGGTTAATACCTTTATACGCTGAATAAGAAGGAAGATTGTGTTTACTGGATCACCTCTTTATTAGTAGAATGATCAGTTTCTGCATTAATTAGCTACCTGTCGTTATTGAGGGGCAGGCTACTTAGCCATACCAGGAGGGGACACCTGATGGGGGGTTCTAAAGACAAGAATTTAGAGTATCAAAATCTCTAAAAATCTAAGGGAAAAAAAAGAGTAAACAGTGAAGATAAGATGCTATAGAGCTATGTACAATATATTTTTTACCGGGTTATCTATAGATTTTTCAAAGAAAATCCTTGATTTCTGATGATAAGTATCAATGAAAGTAATTCAACACTTATGGAGGTCTATTCAGTCAGATTTCAGAGAGCGGTAGAAATTGTTCTGAATACCCACATGACCCAGGATCCTGCAGTCTCTGTTGTATTGAAGGAATTCCAGATATAATTTATGTCTGTATAACGTGAGAGTTCAGTCCAGCCTTACGGTTGACACCTGTAAAAACTTGCAAATAAATCTCAGTAATTGGTCGGATTCTAATAAGAATACCTGGAATAACTTTCCTCACTTTCTTTAAATTAACAACTTAATGGAAATTGGTTTTTCACACCTTGATATATTGCAAAGTGTTTTTGCAGCATCTATTAGAATTCAGTGGTGCATTTTACGTTTAGTGACAATTATAAATTGGTAGAAATGTTAACCTTTTCAGGTGTATGTATATAATGTATCCCCAGCTAAGACTCTCATCACTTAAAATAAACATTTTATTTTTTAATGTGATACTGTCTATTCAATCTACTTTGACTGTTTTATAATCATTAAAATATGAAAAAAAATGATTAAAAAATAGACATTTGATAGCTGTATTAGAAATTAAATGTTTTATCATTTAATCATGTTTTTATTTCCAATTTATATGTACTGTTATCATTGTTATTTTATTTAACCAGAAGAGAAAATTCATCAGTCAATATCTGTCATCAAATTTCAATATGAAATCAATGTTTAAATAACTATGTTAAAGACAAAATTATTTCATAATTGATAATTTTTACGACTAGATTGGATATTTTATCAATCACTGCGTCGACAGTCTGTAGAGTGGGGTCTTTGGGTATACTGTTAAATATTGTGTACACTGCGTAGTGTGGAGTACAAACAAGTACATAATGAAAATATTGTGTCAATAAAACCTGTGCAAATAAGCATACAAACACAAGGTTCCTGCTTGCGTTCTGTGTACGAGGTAAAAAGGAGAACACTGGGTATTCAACCCTAGTATATGACACGGAAACACTGGGTTGTGTAAGAAATGGTCGGGTATTCCGGGGGTTTTCTATAGACCCTCCCAGCTCCAATAGACTCCCCGCTCTGATAAGTATAGCTCTGGTACAAGTATTTTGTTAAGAGTCTGCTACCAGATTCCATTTAACCAACACTTGAGGTTTCTTAGTGGCATTATTGTCCAATTATCGACAGTTAAACAACTCCAGCTAAGTTATTGAAGGTCTGGTTAACGGTACTGCACAAATTCCCGCAGGTCTCAGAGTCAGGTAATCCCGGCCAATTATAGACTCTGTGAATCAATGGCTACCGTTATTAGCAGAGGAACGTCAACAATTTCTTAGCACTTGTTGAGTATTTGTATTTTGCAGTTTATTTGCAAAGTAAAGTTTACTTATGGGTAAGAATTAAAAACATCTTTTTAAATATAATTGGGTATAAATCTTGAAAAATATACTGAAATAGCTATTCCCATAGGCTTTTTTTAAAAATAAAAATCAAGCATTTGATGTATTTACAGCCATTATTAAGTAATAAGACCTTATTTTGCTGGGTATAATGTATTATTCATTTATATTGGTAGATTTTCTAGTGATTTGTTTTATAAATCAACTCCTAAACAGCTTGTTGTCTTCATTTCATCAAAAAGTCAATAGCAGTTGTTAAACTTTCATTTATAAAGACAAGTCTATTTTTTTTGTCTGAATGGTATTTAAGGAAGGAGTTCTTAGAATGCATTGACTTCAAAGACATTTTGAACTTTGGACTAAATCTGATTGCAGGTTATTTAAGTGTGTGTTTTCCCTTAAACAACTTGTTAATGGCACTTGTAAGTTATTGAGAATTCATTTATTTCTCTATAATCATGGTATTTATAATTCTGAACTATTCAGTTCTGACAAAAAAGAGAAATTGTTGCTTAAGTAATTACTGGTTTTAATCTTTGATGGGAGGCATTTGTCAAAATGATTGAAATAGAGTTTGTATTTAAAGAGGAAAGGTAAAGAAAACATTATTCTCATTACTGTACTTGGTGACATGAGTATAGCTAGACTCTCAAAGTATTACCCTAAAACGACAGGGTTATAAAATGGAGTTAAAACTGATTTGGAGGGCCTTTTTATAAACAATGAAGTTATTGCAGCATGTCTTGTTCTGTTGGTAAAGGGAGGTAATCTGTCGGTCTGGTATTCTGATGGTTCGCGATCAAAGCCGACCTGGTTCTATTTTAACAAAATCAGATGTCTCTCAAGATGGCCACGCTTCGTTAAATCCAGATCACTATCGGCTCAGAAATTTGTAGATGGCTCATAAGCTACTATCATGTGTTTTTCAACATGGTTAAACACTTTTAAAATAAATTTCAGAACAAAATTTATTGCCCACCCTTCTCTCTTATTTTTCTTGGTGAAGAATAGATTGATAATTCATTGTAATATCATATGGGACATTACAGAATCAGAGCAAACTTGTAACAGGGGTCAACTGGGGTCATGCTCGAGTAAACTGAGGCCTTTATATAGACACACCCACAAAATGATTTTTTGAGGGCTTGACTAGATAAAATCTCTGTATGATTTATATGCATTGTAATCTAGTTATTTATGAAGGATGAGCTAGCCTTCCATATTAAGTATCATGTCTATTGAAGTAAACTATGTAGTAAATATCAAGTGAAACTTAATTGATACAATTTAGAGACATGATTTGCTATGAATGCTGAAAAAGTGAAAAAAAACAACAAATTTTTATGAATTTTATGATCTTGAGCAAAAGATAAATGAAAGCTTATTTCAAAAGAAAAAATAAAGTGGTGAAGATCAATTTTGCATATTATTTTATTTACAATCAGATAAAGTGTACTTGCAGCTTAATTAATTTAAACATATTTTAAATATGATAAAAATGTATACTTATAGTTGTACACTTGAGTATTGTAGATAAATTAATGATGCACTTTTTACACTTTGTAGGTTACCCGAGGGACTGACACAGCTAGGGAACCTAACACAACTCTACCTCAACGATACATTCCTAGACTATCTACCAGGAACTTTCGGGAGGTGAGTACCAGTTCATTGTCAGGGCACCAGATTAGTAATTTATATCATCGTATCATTAACAAGAGAGGAGTAATACAGTGATCAGTTCTGAAATAGTTTTGTAGAGTTAAGTCATATACATTTACGTTTGCACTATTTATGATTTGTACGACACCAGAGGAACTAAATTAGAGATCTGTCTTACGTATTCCGTTTACCTGACAATACTTAGCCGCGTGATAACACCTTAATCGATCCCAGACCCTTGTTTACCGATTTTGTCAGAGTTAGCTTGTCATATAGAATTTACTGAGGATTACGTAGGGAGGGTGTTTTAACAGATTCCGGGTCTCCTCAGGAATTTATCGACCGACAGACGGGGAAATGTCATGTTAAAGACAAGAGAAAGTGAACATTTATTTTAGAAACAATAGCTTTAAAACAAAGATGTATGGACTTCCTTAAATGGTTTCTGTTGTCTTGGGGATCTAACATAAGCAGGTCCCCATCCAAATAAACAATGAAGTCCTTGATCAAAACTGACAAATGCTGACTACTTTCAGATGGTACTTAAGTTTGGAAGAGTTTCATTAAAGAAAAAAAATTGAATAAAAACTTAATTTTCACTTTAAATGCAAACTTAAGAGGGAAGATCTAAGAAAATTGATTTTAGTTTTTGTCAATATTCAGGGTAAACTGTTTAAAATGTTCTGTTTACATTTCTGTGTTATCTTTTTGTCTGCCTCAGTTAAAGTTATTTAGTTTATAAAATATTTGAATGATATTAAGTTTAAGGAGTTAAATCAGAATGTTGGAACACAGTGGGTCCTCTCTGGTTTCTATGGCAGTCCTGAGTGGTTGGAGAATTTCAGCCACTTGACAGACCGTTTGACCAGTGTCCAGTTTGGTCTTCATGTGAAGAGTTTGTATGTGTTTGTGATAAGTCTTTAATTGGTCACTGTTGGTCCTAAGTATAGTGGTCGGTTGATTGTACCATTCAGATTACCCATGTAAACACTCGAGATAAAACTTGTCAACAACCCATCACTATAATACAATATCCACTGTTTTTTGTTGACTTTTTAAACACCTATAGCTATCATGATGTAATGTGTTATATAATCTTAGCCATTCCAAGGTGACTTTATTCCACTAAGTAGATAAAGGTGTGGAAAGAAATGAATACACACAGTCATACATATAAATTAATGTACTGTTACATAAATCTCAACATGTGGATAACCATACTGCATTGTATTAATTCTCTGTTTTACTATCAGTCAGGAATTCAATAATTGTTTTATCTTAAGTCTATTAGAATTTATTAAACTAAAGTCTCAGATAAATCAATGGTTGTATATAAACACGGACGTCTAGCAGACTTAGGATGTTGGGACAGTGTAATTCGGGGGAATAATCCCATTGTCAGCGTGTATACCGTGGAATAGATCCCCGGGTGTTGAAATGTTTGTCAGTCCGCTGTCTGGTATTGACAGAGAGGTGAGACTACCGCCAGGCCGAGAACAGAGAAATTAGATTCCATATTTACACAGCCTCATGGTCAATTAAATCACAAAATGGACTGAAGTGACCAAGGTGCTGCCGTTGTTCGTTTTCTGATTTAATTATCTCGGAGTAGACACAGATGTCAGATACTTGTGTTTTCCTTGTAAAACTCGGTCCTTTGTGATACGTAAGTGTTAGGCTTTTAACGGACTGAAAATAGACCACCTAAATAAGAGCTTGGTTCAACAAAATTCCAGGCAGTCAAAATATTGAATAGTATCAGTGACAAGTCTCCCTCTCAACGTGTCAAAACTCTCTTTAAGCTGTCATGTTATGTAGTCTTATGTAAATTGTAATGGAGATAGGTTTCTATGTTTTCAGGGTAATATAGATTTAATTTGATGAAGGTTAAAACTGACAAGAAATAAAAGGTATTTAATAAATTCAGCAATGTAGAAATTAATGATTTTCAAATCAGTTAGTATATTTGATGTATTACTGTCAAAATTAAAACAGAACCTACTGAGCTGTACAAATTATTATAGATAAAAACTCAACATATACAATAAACATTTGAAACTAATGGATTAGTTATTTAGTATATATGATGTATTGACTGTCAAAATTAAAACAGAACTTACTGAGCTGTATAAGATATTATAGAAGATGCTCCACAGGTACAATAAACACTTGATGAATTTCACTTTTTGATCATGTTGATTGGAAAAACTGACTAAAAGACTATAGATAAAACACTTTAATAAACAACGATAATTTTGGTCTTCAGTCATAAAAAAATCTATATTGATGAATCCCCAAAAAACATGTCCACATAACATGCTTTACAAACACATCCCTGCCTTAGTAAAAAATTGATATGGCTTGTACATGTAATTAAGTTTAATATTTTATCCTAGCCTTTCCCTTGTATCTGATAAGAAATCAATTTAACTTGTAATTTTTATTTTCAGACTACTGAAGCTGAAGGTATTAGAGATCAGAGAGAATCATCTGAAGACTCTGCCCAAGTCATTCTCCATGTTGACCTCACTAGAGAGACTGGACATAGGACACAATGAGTTCACAGAGCTGGTCAGTTCGAGTATATAGTAAAGTATTACTGTTCTAAGGAAAATCGGGACTCTTATTAGGCAGACATAATTGAAGCATATTTAACAAACAGTTACACTGTGAATTGGACATCAGATCAAGTTTAAGCATCAAAAGAGTTGCATAAATTTCATCATTTCATATGTTTTTTTTATCAATTGGTAAAGAATTATGTATAATCATAAATATTTGCCCTAAGCTCACTAATCGTACATGTTGAATTGTCTTTTTATGTACTAAAGTCTGTGTGATTAGACTACTATCAGGTAATTAACTATCTGTTGAGATACATTGTTGTGACTTTGTCTGTTTGTCTGTTACAGCCGGATGTGATTGGGAATCTGACCAGCCTCTTGGAGCTCTGGTGTGACCACAATCAGATCTCAACACTTACTTCAGTAAGTTATTATAGGGCTCTACTGTAAAATCTCTTATAGGACTTGCAGAAAAGATCCTGTTTGCAAGCTTCTAAAATTTACAGGTTCTGTATCCAATTAACTCAGTCATTTTCAAGCATCTGTGAAAGAAAACATCAAAATTTACAAATACAAGCTTGGTAAACAGAAATAACTGGTCTATAAACAATCAAAGTCTAATTGCTATTTAGTATTTAGACTTCTGTGTCAGGCTTGGTGCCAGCGTTGGCTATTGACACAATAAAAGTATGCTGGTCACTGCACTACAACAGATAATCTGTCTTTGTTCTGTATCTGAGATGACACAGATCTCTAATCAGACCTGTTACAGGCACGCAGTTATTCCCTCGTAGGTCGGGCAGGTATAGAACTCGATTGATAGGTATTCAGTTATATTTCAAGACAGGACAGATTTGTATTAAATCTCGGTTTCCCATCGGGGGTTTTAGTTGGGTCAGATTCAAGAAGCCCCCCGTTCTAGATCTTTGACTTCTTCTGTGTATCAGAGTCCGCCAGCACGCACCCCGTCTCTCTCTCGGCACAAAGAACCACACGACACAGTCTTACAAGCCGGCATTGAAATTGATAGCATCTGTAGTTTGAATGGGTCACTCTTGCACTGTACAAATAATGCTGGTTAAATCGTTAAAATCAATAATACTGGATTGATAAGGAGAGCTGATAGGCTATATTTGAATGTGTAGGTATTTAAATCTGTCCGCCTTTTGTGTGAAAAGTTACTCATAACTGGGGACTGTTATTTTGTCCACTTTTTTATCCTATTGGTATTTCATTGACATTTTTAAGCTGCATGGTCACAGGGTTATATTTGTAGAAGTTAAAAATTAAAACAAACTCAGAAGATCAGATGATTTTTTCACTCGTGACTGTTGCGAATTTAGTACATACCGGTACATGTATTTGAATATTTTTAAAAAGTGCACATTTGTAGTACTAGTATTTTAAAAAGAATATTTTTAAATTATAAAATAATTACTATCTTTATTCTGTAATTTGGCATCTCCATATCTAGTATTTAAATAAAAAAGAAAATTTTAGAACTTTAATTTAATACTGATCTAAATTTGTAACTGAATAGTATATCTAGAAGTCTAAAACATACTGACATAAATTTCTTACTTCAACTTTTCTGTGATAAAAATAGCTGAATATTAAAGTTGTTTAATGTTAGAGTTAAGGAGGATTAAGGTAATAATGACCTTGTGTTTGTGTTGTGCACAAATCACATGTCTAGATATGCAGGGCTTATCCTTTCAATGACTTATAAAGCTGATTAAAGGGAAGTCACTCACATGAAAAAGAAGTCACTCATATTAAAGGGAGATCACTCAAGGATTGTGGTTATTTATGAAAGCCACCTTAGAAGTTTGATCATTAAGGGTAGTTCAACTGTTTAACAATTGAGTCTTTGTAATTTTCTACAAATATTCAACAATGACATTTGTGCATCTGTAGAACATATTGACTTGTGTGTCTTAAACGGATGCAAAATGGTTGACTCAAACTCAGTTACAATAAAATCACTTACAACGAAATCTTGATTAAAAGAAACATTGAAGAATCCATTGAGACTCTGCGTACCTGTTATATGACTATAAAAACGCTTGTTACAAGGAAGAAAAATTTGTAGTTCTGATGAATTTCCTACAGTTATGTGTTTCTTTATTAAGTTGTTATTTCTTTGCAGACCATTGGTAACTTGAAGCGGTTGATGTTTCTAGATGCCTCATCCAATCATTTGCAGTCAATTCCATCAGAGATAGAAGGCTGCATCTCATTGGGTGATCTTCACCTGACAACCAATAGAATTCAGGCTCTTCCAGAATCTTTGGGTAATTTGGAAAGCAAGAATGAAGATATAATTTTCAAGAGTTAAATATTCACAACACATTAATAAAGAATAATTCAAAGGAAACCCTTTAATTTTCCATACCATTAACTTCTTAAAACTGATCATTTGTATACAGTTATCTTTTAAGGATATTTTAATATATGTACAAATTACTTTGAGTAATAACTAATGGAGATTTATTACTGGATATTATGATATAAAATCTGGGCTAAATTACACTCTGTGTATTATTGAATGGTACCAGAATTTACACATTTTTTCTTCTTAGAATTTAAAGTGATCAGGAAGAGTGTTCTTTGAATACATTTAATTGTTTAAAATTTGAAAAATATTAAACCACTTTTCAAACAAAACAATCTTGAATAAAATTTAAAGTCTGGTAATTGCCTTTCACCGATTCTAATTACCTAAGATTTGTGACACAGGCGGAGTATTTAGTGCTGGTAATTAGGTATGAAAAATAAATTCACAGAATACAATGAAGGAATGCACCAGTGTAGTCTTTTGAAAGTTCCGCTCATGGAAACGATGTTAAAGGCCGTGGATTAATTTCTTGTCTTCTCCCTGTAATAATAATTGATCGGAATAATTGAATTATACAAGCTGGAGATCTTTTGAGAATTCTACTTGTGTCCATCACAGTGATTCGGAGCCATTGTGTAAGAGATCCATAATTAGAGCTGCTTGAATATTCTTGTCAAGATATGGAATCTTAATTTTGAAATGATAGGCACATAAGGCTTTGTAAAGCCCAGACACGACCTGACATCTATATACAGCCACATAATGTACGGCCTTAATATACGGCTATAGAGATAAGGGAAGAGGAGAAATTAATTTTACGCACAATATTGATGTTCCTGTAATGCACTTGATGTGCAGCTGATAAATAGGAACCCCGTTATGTGCAGGTCAACCTTTTGCGAAGATTTAAAGCTGCTTAAATGGACTGAAAATTTATGTAAAAGTTAAATTGCTAGAAAATGCATTAAACATAAATTAAGATATGAAAGATGTTAACATTGGTGTACTGAGAAAGCTGTCGTTAGGCTGGAAATGAATTGATAACCCTGGTACTGATAATAAAACGATGTTACTACCCCACTGCACATTGAAATTGGTTTACAATCTCTGAAGCTAAAAAAAAGATAAGTATGATCAATCCAATTTAATAGCAGAAAATAAATTCTGGATTAAATTTGACTGAATGGGACTAATACAAAGAGACGCCTCTGGTTCTGTAGCCATTCATTTTCTCTGCCTATAGATGTTGTAATCAGAACTGGATTCCGTTAAATGGTTTCATTAAATTATCAATCGCTGGCTGCTTTGATCAGGACAGACTTTACTGCCTGTCATATTGAGCTTTACCTGCTTAGTCAAGGCCTTTAAATCTTGACTCAGGTGTGACGAGGAAATTTAAATGTACCTGGAATTTTGTCGTTATTGGGAAGGACAAATACCGTAGTTAATCTAAAAAGCAGCTCAGCCAAAAATGGCTATTTTTTTAAATGAATATATATTTGATTGAGAATTTGTGCAGCATCCATTGTTTTATAATTGCGTAATTATATATGTACACTGTGTATGTTATACCTATGCTATGTTTGTAATACCTATGTATATAAGTATTACTTGTTTTCCAGGTAACTTGGAGAGTCTGACCACCCTCAAGATTGACAACAACCAGCTGACGGCGTTACCCACCTCTATTGGAGGGTATGTAAAAAATAAATACACATAAATAAAAATAGTTAATAACAGGAATAAATTAATTAGAATGAATTGACTGTTAATGATGAGTCTAAAAACTTTTATTCTTCAAAATCAAATGTGAAGAAAATTATTTTTTGCTGTGTATTTTATCTAATGGAATTTCAGACTTGAATAAATAACAGACTTCTTTAAATAGTGCACACAATCAAAATTTGAATAGAACCAAAATTACCAGGTAACTACATTTATAATAAAGTGATAGCCATTGTTAGATTGTTTTATATACTTGATACAGGCTACAGTCGCTGTCAGAACTCAATGTCAGCTGTAATAACTTGGAGGAACTTCCTGCCAGTCTAGGACTCCTCAGGAACCTCCGCACCTTCTACGCTGACGAGAACGATCTCCTGTTTATTCCTGCAGAGGTTTGTGTTCGAATACATCATGGTGTAATTTATTAAAAAATATATTTTGGAGATGCATAATTTAGGAAAAATTGTTTTGTAAACATGAGAAATATATTACTGTAAACCAATGTTTGCACACGTGCTTGGTAATTCATAATTACCTATCAACACCCCTCGGGGCAAATGTCTAACACACCTAAACTTAAATAAGAACATTGAGAAATGTGCTAATTCAAATCTAGGCCTACTTGTTCAAAAATCAATTTCCACCAAATTTGGTACATGCTAAATTGTCATACATTTGAAATATATCATTTTGATAAAGTTGTGCTGATTAGTGAACATTCTTTAGACTTTGTAATGATGTGTCTACTTTCTGTAGATTGGGAGTTGTAATGGGATCACAGTTCTCTCCTTACGGAGTAATCACCTGGAGTACATTCCTGACGAGATCGGACGAATCCCGAGACTTCGCGTCCTGAACCTGAGTGATAATCGACTGAAGTACCTCCCCTTCACGATCACTAAACTGAAGGACCTACAGGCCCTCTGGCTGGCAGAGAATCAGGTAAACCAGTCCACACCTATCTGTCAGGGGAGGTTTATAATCTGAAAACAATAAATGTTATATTATTTTTTATGTACACTATCCTGAAATCTGACTTGTTCTATTTATAGACCTGCCCTCTGATCCCCCTGCAGTCTGACCATGAGCCAGATAACGGTAGGAAGATTCTGACATGCTACCTCCTTCCACAGTTAGGGGACGAGGACAGACCATGTGATTCAGGTAAGGAGGTCAAAGGTCAAATAAAGGGAGATCACTCAAACATTGCTCACTGAAGGGAATTGTTCTATAAATGGACAATTTTTCTAGCAGGGTCGAAATATTTGTGTTAGTGAATCTCCTACACCATATAGGGAAAATCATGAAACTTATGATTAAGATGAATATTTTAAGGAAAAAACAAAGTACTGAATCAAGGTTAAAGTTATCTCCCCTTAGCAGAAGATAAAATGACCTTAATTTGACTGTTATCAGACAAATTGTTCTTTTTTTAATGTTCATAAATTTAAATATTCTTGAGTGGTACACAATGATGAACAGGTAACATTGTTTTTTAATGCGTTCAGGTCAGGGAGGTGACACAGACAGTTTTCACGCCTCAATGTGGGACGAGGAGAGAAGCAGACGACAGACCATTCACTTCGCCTTCCCTGAAGAAGAGGAGGAAGAGGTAAGATCTGTAGCAAAACAAAAAGAGAGAAAAAATGGGAAGATTTCAAAAAATTAAAAATTCAATTATGAGAGAATGTAGTTTTTGAAAAGAGAACAAGTTTTCCTTAGCTTTAGGGTCATCACTGATTACTAGAAATGACTTTCATATTTTATAAAGGCATGAGCTTGCATGTGATATATACTTGCTCATTGCATGCACTGCTGTCAAATTATATGTTCTGTCTTGTATTATTATATGTATACACAATATATCTCTTAGTATATAGACCTTCCATATTTTGTATATGTTGAACTATGCAGCAATTGATGAAAAAAGAATGAAATACTTTCAGTCATATTTTGACCATGTACTTTACCACGTTCTGTAACAATTAACTGGTTATTAAAATTGCACATTGAATGATGCATCAAAACATTAACCAAGTTGGAGAAGGTTGTAACCCATAAGTTATGTATTTATTGGCATGTATTCTCAAAAACTAATAAATGTTTTACTAATTGACACACTCTAAATCTTTTGGAAAAACGGCTTAAATCTACATAGGAAGAATAAAAGCTCTAGTAAGAAAACCAGTTAAAAATCACCAATTTTCTGCCTGTCAGCTGCACTAAATAATATTGTACAGAAAAGATGTAGCCAGGCCATTCAAGCAATCTCAACAGGTGCCCCCCTTGTATCATTACACTGACCCCCCAAGTCCTTTGTAGGGTACACTGGTTAGGTGTCCAACCCCCTACCCCAAAGATATGAGGGAAAAAATTCGACATGCGCGTAACATGGCGATGAGACAGAAGCTGAGTGGGGGACCGGCCGACGTCAGATGGAGTGGAGGGAGAGACAACAGAGGATACGAGGAGGAGGTAAGGTCAAAGTTCAGTGGGTAAGGTTAAAGGTCAATGGTTTGTGATGAATTGGGACAGCAAAAAACAAAGGCTAGAAGTAAGATTCATCAGTGTGAAGTGGATACAAGCAACATGTAGTAATGGAATTGGTAAGAATTTCATAATTGATGATTGGTTTTGTGAAACTAATTATTGATTTTAAGGTGAAAGTAAGGTCGCCAGTGTTCAAGGTTCATCAATGTCTGTAATAGGTCCAGAGATCTCAGCCAAATAGAAAATGATGTATGAGGGGAAAAAAATTAAGGCTAATATTCAATGATTTGAAGAACAATATAAATAAAGTATAATGTGGGAGATAGGTAAGGTCAAAGTTCATTGATGTACAGTTCTACAAGGACAAGGGTTATCAGCAGAGGTAAGGTCAAAAGGTCAAAGGAAACTGTTCATAAATGGGGATCTGTATGTTGTACAATGGAAAATAAAACAAAAAGTATGAGACACACAAATCTTCCTTGAAAGTATGAAGTATTAAAACAGGAACACAGTTTGTATTAAGATGTTTAACTGCATTTGTCACAATAACTGATTTTTTGTCACTGCATGGTGTTAGGAGGCTAGTAAGACTTACAATACTTTGTAAACTAGGAGGTGAATTATGTTCACTAGATACTTCCAATAAATATACATCTCTAGTTCTCCCTTTTAGTCCCTTACATTACTAATTGTAGATTTTCCTGTAGATAGACAGGAGAATCTTAACTCTAACATAGCGTAATACTTAATTGGATGATCTATTATGAAGTTGGTGAAAGTATGCTGCAAAATAAAGTTCTTTACTATAAATGTAAAACCACTTGAAATTCTACACCTGGTGATGTACACTGATTTTTTTTATGCACATCTTGTGACTTTGGCACTTGATTTGTATCTTGATTTGCACTTTAATATTTAATGTGCACTTAATATCAAAGAGATGACAAATTTGCCTTGCTTTAGTATTTTTGCAAAATAGCATACTTTGCATTTGGAAACTTGGATGATAAAGTAGTTGACAAATAAGACATTAATAATATAAAAGAATGATTAAATTTGGTAACCATAGTAACAGTGTGTTTTAGCGGTAACAGTGTGTGTAGCTATGGTAACACTTCCTAACAATTTTGCAGACTTCTGCATTGGTTTATGATAACCATGGTGACGGTGACCTGAATCGACATCCCCGCCCGTCGTCACCGATTGATGCCCACCGACTGTATCAGTGTGACAAGGTACTGGGCTTGTTACCACTATCATTACAGGGAACAGTAGCCAATCTAATTGTACTAGTAACTTATATGGTCACAGGTGTATGTGCTGCACTAATGTTTGCAGAAAATAATAACATATAACCCGTAGAATAATTTGTAATTTAGGAAGTCTGCTGATGATTAAACACATTTAAGTTAGGAGTTTGAAAATAGTTTATAATATGATGGTAGTACCTTATAGGGGTGTAGACTATACTTACTCACTTGTTATGCTTACAATGTCCTTATGCTAGAGAATTCTATTACTCAGATAACTGCATACCTAAACATATGATATACCGGTATATGTAACTGATTAATTGGAAAATTTAATGGGTTTCACAGGAGAAGCTAGCAAAAGACAAAGCCCGACTTCAGCGCCACCACTCAGACCAAGAATCTGAGAGAGAGGCTGCCAGGTCAAGGTCACCTGTAGGGGAGGTAACCACAGCCACCAAACCACAGCCTGCTCCCAGAAAAGGTTTGTTAAAATCAGCCACTTCAATGGAAAATTCAAATGGAAATGTGAAGTTTTTAATCTTTATTGTTGAATTAAAACGAATAGCAATTTATAACCAAGTGCATTTTGATGTCTGACTTAGCTATATTAAAAATAATTGGGTTTTTTTCCTCTTCACCTTTACTCACAGGATGTATCTTATATTCTTAGAAAGTGGCTATTATAAGATTTTATGCTGTGTTCTTAAAGTACTGACATTAATAATGATATTGAAGGTTACCCAAGTAAAGAGAAGAACAGGAGAAGCCAGCAGGATGATGGGGGATTTTCTGAGAGAGGACCGGCGACGTGTTTGGGGTCTAACACGGACATTTCTACAATGAAGGACCTCACAGCACCGGACACTCCCGTGTCAAAACGGACCCCGACCTTCTCTTACTGCTCTCCCTCAGAGCTCTCATCTAGACTGTCACAGTTCAGTGACCCCCGGAGTGGTCACTCCCCCTATAGTGCTAGTCCCTCAGGAAAATCCCACCGTACCAGGGATTACGATTCAGACACAGGGTATCGGAGTGAGTCTGAGTTTGTGAGACTACAGAGACAACAGATGTACAATCATCAGGGTTTTGTGAGGGGAGGGTATGAGAGTGACAGGGATGGGTTAACGCCTCGGAAGGAACGGCAGCGAGAGGTGGGGTACTCCAGTGATGTGGAGGGGTACTCAGGGAGGGTCAAAATGGCTTCCTATCATTCAGGACCCACACCCATACAGCAGCCAAACTCAGGTAGTGTTCAGTACCAAAGGAATCAAAATAAACCCTCCCCTATATACAGTTCTACAAATCAAAATTGGGCTTCCCAAAAGGTGCAGGGTACATCTGCACCTAGTGACAAAATGTCCGACCCTAGTGCTAGGTCTCTAGAAACCTCAGTATTCAGTGACAGTGGGTATAACCCCTCCTCCCCTATGTTCCATCGCAGTAAGATTGTGGATCAGAGTACACCGGTCTCTAGTGAGGCTCCCCACGGGTTCCGGTTCACTGGTCGGTCACGGTCGGGCAGTGACAGTGGGAGTGCCAGTCAGGAGGAGCAGGGGAAGGACTGGAGGAAGGATTTCTATGCCGTGATGGAGCAGAAGATGAACAGCTCTCAGACACAGCTCAATCAACAGGTCAGATAATCCAAAAACAATAATCTAATTGACAATGATGCTGTAATCATCCCTATTTTCTGCTATTAGTGTTTTATATTGTGAAGCCAAAGTATTGCATTCTGTTTAAAAATTCCCGAGATTTTGATTGTATCTATAATAATAACAAAATGTAGATGAAAAGAGTTAGGCTGTTAAGTTTTCATAGGTAGTTTACATATTGTTGAAATGAATTTACGTACTCTTAAATATTTCTGAATTATTTCTTAAGTTGATTATTATTTCATGTATATATAGCAGGTAAATGAGACGGCATCTAAGGACCAGTCCCCCCAGTACAAAGCCTCACCCACCTATACCTCAGTATCACACAGGAAGCTTCCCCCCACCCCTAACAGAAACTCTCCCTACGGTGTGGTGAATTACGACAGGAGGAACGCAAACTCCCCCTCCATGTATCAGCGCATTTCTGAACTCGCCATCACTGAAAATGTGGTTCAAAATCATCGATCAGAATCGCCCTATCAGAGACTTCCATTATCTCGTCAGAGTCCAAACCAACAGATGTACAGACAGAGCGAGACTCTGTATCGACAGGAAGTGAGTAGTAGTCCAAACCAGAAGACATACAGACAAAGTGATACTTTATACACACAGGAAATGATTCGGCAGAGTCCAAGTCAAAAGGTTTACCAAAAAAGTGAGACTGTGTACACTCAGGAAGTCACTCAGATCCCAACCCCTGGTGGGGACGGCTCTATGAGTGTGCCCTCCCCCCACCCTCTAGTCCCTAGTAGTGCTAACCCCGTGTATCCCCACGATCATGACTCCTCTCAGTCCTCAGGATTCAGTAGTGACACTTCAAAATCAAGACCCTACAACCCCCTACCTCCCAAACTACCCCAGGTATCTAGTGACCGACCTCAAGGTGAGAGGTCAAGGACACCTGTGTTTGTAAACTGTGAGGAGGAGAGGGGGGATTCCCCTCGGGAGTCTGGATACAGCAGTCGGGAACACAGCAGCCACAGGAATTCCCCTTGTGACACAATCTTCCCCCCGGGACAGTACTCGGAGCAGGGGGAGGATTATAAAAATCCGGGATCCTCCTGTGAGGACATCGCATCCTACAAACACAACCTACAGCTGTCTCAAGCCCGAGTGCCGCGCCTCGTGGAGAACAGTCCCCGAGTGTACAAGGACGTCTCCACCAAATACTCAGGTCAGATCAAGCACAACAATGGGTTTTATTAATTTTGAACTCTGCTACAATATTTTTAATTTGTCTGTTAGTATAATCAAAGTAAGTGATATTTTTCAGAGTAAACTGATGGCTATAATTATATTCTCCTAAATTCCTATGAATACTTTATCCAGAAATTTTTGCCCTCGTTTTATTTTCGCCCCTGTCACAAATGGGCAAATTTTAAATGGGGCGAATTCAAAGAACACAGTATAATTTCTGAAACAGAACTGTGAATGGGGCAAAATTGTTAGCAAGTATAAAATGGTGAAAATAACCCTGTATACAATACATGTATATAACGTCAAACGTTGATTATAAATTACAGGATTCACGGTGCCCCCTCCCAGTCGACCCCCACCCACCCCATACAGCAGTCAGCTTCCAGTCTCATCAGATCATTATACCCATAATTCATCTCACCAGTCCCATAGTGCCACACCATATCACCAAGGACACCATTCTATGGCAAGGGAGACAACTTCAGATCATCCTCCACATTTACAGCAGAATCCAGCTCAGCATCAGGTAAGAAATCTGGGATTTGTCACAGCATGCCTCAGAAAGATAGGGAAAACAGTTAATAGAGAAAGTAGAAGGACAATCAAAACTAACAATTGAACTTAATTAAATCACTGGGATTTGTCACAGCATGCGTCAAAAAACAGTAAATAGAGAAAGTAGAAGGAATATTGGAACTAACAGTTAAACTTAATTTAATCACTAATATATTTTTGAAGAAAAGTGTTTGGTGTTACTGATTGGATTACTTTGAAATTAACCAACACTAAATGTCTTCAAGACAAGGTAATTCATAGCTCTTAGGGAGTAAAACCCCTGTCACACCAGGGCTGCGTCCTCACGGCCACTGCACGGCGTCCTTAAAAAAATACAAAACACCAAGGTGATCGCAGTAGAGTCTCCTACAGCGCCGTGACAACGCGGCGAGATCTCCACTGAATGCCGTAGGGTCTCCAAGAACGCAAGGGGACGGTGATCACTTTGGGCATGCACAAAGTACGCGCCGTGTGATCGCGGTCTGATAAGAACGCAGTAGAAACGTAAAGTGATCGCCGTATACACGCAGTGAGATCTCTAACAACGTAGTGGGAGCTCCGTATGAATGCCGTGAAGACGCACATGATCGCGGCACGAACGCAGTGTTAGTAGACTGCGCTTCCACGGAGATCTCACGGAGATGTCGCGGAGTCCTTGGAGATTTCACTGCGTTTCTATCTCGTTTTTCTGGCGCTTCTAATGAGATTTATCATCTTGTGATTTTTTCGACTGCAATTACACGGCGACAGCACGGAGTTGTCACTGCGATCATTGCGCTCCCAGGGCGTTTCTACAGCGTCCGCTGGCGATCACAATGCGCTTTCACGGCGTTGTTAGAGCGTTGTCAGCCTGCTCACAAAACAAGAGCAATGGGATCATATTTGAACAGCAATAACAAGAGCATTTAAGTGAAAAAAATGGAAGAGAAAATTACACCAGAACTTGTTCTGTTGTTTCACTTAAATTTTGTAGAAAACTTTTCGATGTGTTTATTTTTTTTACATTCATAAAAAAAATAAAGAAAATCTAACAACTCAACTGAACCGATGAAATTGAAAAAAAGGAGTTTGATAATAAAACTATTAATAATTTGGTACTTAATTATCTAAATATAGAACATTTTTAATTATTAAGAATATTTTTTGGCATGATTAGAAGTCTTTTCATCGCGTAAATTGAATCTTTAAACAAAAATGTTTTACATTCCTTCTAAATATATATCAATGATATATCTCACGCATTGTGAACGTATTGTGAACGCACCTATCGCAGTGAGAACGCCATGAACACGAGGTGAAAACTTCTAACGCGCCTGAAATTTACAGCAGAAGCGCAGTCAATCGCCGAAGAAATCTCCGATTTGAACGCAGTGAGATCGCTGTAGAATCGCGTCCGTCGCCGTACGGGACACCGTGACATCTTCATATTGTGAAAATTTTACAGAAATTTGTGCAATTTCCCTGCGATTCCACGGCAATTTTAAAAATTTAACAATGTCGTAATGACTCCGTGTGAACGCAGCTTGGTGTGACAGGGCCTTAAGGAAGCTTATTTTTGTATTTACTGAATTAGCAGAGGGTTTGTTATAAATTGAAACCAATAATACTTGACCAAGATTAAGACCACTTGCCGAATACATATTACATTTGCCCAGGCATAAAATCTACTTCACTTTACTTTCTTCAAAGGCCAATCCACAAATCTGTTCAGTGATTTCTTTCTTTCAAGCTTTGCGAAGGAACATCATTACCGGTAGTTTTGTTTTATTGCCTATAAGTATTTAATTGCAAAAATGGTGGAAATGAAAATTGAGAAAAGTAGAATATTTTTTTAAAATTACTGATGAAATGCAATTGAAAGAGTCCATTTACGACAGTAATCAATATGTCAGTATTTTATATACTGTGATTTTGTGGATACAATGAGCAGAAAAAACTTAAGTTTAGAAAATTAAATTAATAAATCTGAGATTATCTTCTTACGAAATACTGGCTTAACAGACTGAGTTTTAAATTATCCTTAAAGTTTGAAAATATGAACTTTACATGTTTAGCATCCCACCATAATATATATATTGTAATGTCGGAAGTATTTGAACTAATCATTAACTGTTAGCTGACAACAATAACCCAAGAGGAATCACTTTATACAGTGACAATTAACCTTAGTTTGATGTTACCATGGTTACTAACCTGTCTTGTTTTTTATAACCAGGAGAGGAGTGGATCCCACCAGATTTCCTCCGTAACTCATCGTCATAGTAACCACTATTACTCGGGTGACAATGTGAGTCCTACCCGAGAAAAGTAATTATATTTTGCTTGTTTTGCTTCTGTAGTTCATTAGATCAGCATTCTTTTATAGCCTTGGTTTTAGTCTTGCATCTATATATCTTCTATTGTGTGATACCATGAAGAGCTACACAGCATCTTATTTTACTATGCAATACTTCAAAGTCCTACACTGTATCCATTGTTTTTCAACTTTATATACTTTATATATTCTTTATCTGTACGCTTTGGTTCTGTAATTTGTTATTTAAACAAGATGTAAAATTAAAAAATTCTGTCCGATTGTACACTGTATCCAAGATGATATTGTCCTTTTTCATTAAGGAAAAAGATTAATGTTATGTGATTTCTCTAAAATCACTTATTTCTCATGCTGTCAGATTTTTAGTTGAAGAATACATTTATACTGAAATTTTAGTGAGGATTTAATTTTGGCATTATTAGCGAGGGTGTTTTAAAATTAAATATCGCTAAAAATTAATTGTGTTTTATTTGTAAAAGCTTCTTTAATGTGCAATATATCAATTAAAATAAAGTTGTTTTTAAGGCATAAAATTGTTAAAAATTTCCACTTATACGATATATGGACATAAAAAAGTTTGTTTTGCATAAATTGATAAATTTTGAAATCTCTTCATTATTGTACCACAAGAATACCAACAAAACGTCTAAGTCACAGCGGTCAGCATGTGATTCATCTTTTTGCTATGTATATTCAGTTGAAATTTAGAAATTGTTCTTATCTTGCCTGCACATTTTTAACTGGAAAATGTATAACCCTGTTTCACAAATCCACTTGTCTTTTCTTTATTCCTCTGTTTCATCAATATATTTTTTACTCCATTAACAAGTTTTTCATCTATGTCAAAAGTGAATATTAAAGTTTATACAGTGTTGTATGCATGTTAAGTTTCATGTTTATCACTATCCCTTGAACAAATTTGGAGGGAATATAGTAAAGTGCTTGCGAGTGTGGGTTTGAATGCATGTGTGAGTGCATGCATAGTAAAAGTTATTCAAGGAGTAATTTATAATCCCTAAAACCGCCCCTGCATTGTAAGGGAATCTTAATTTTTCAACTGTCAGTTTTCCCCCCTTGTAAAGTTAAACTATAATCATCTGATTGTTATTTATACATGTTCAACAAAATTTAAAGAACTGAAAATGAAACGTGTCTACAATGCGATTTCTCGGCGGAAAATGAATCATTTCACTTAATATGGGTTGATTATCTTCACTTAAAGTAAACATTATTTAAGTAGTTCTTTGAATTTATTTCTTTTTTCAAAGATTTTTTTGAAGTTAAAATATGACATTAATTAAATATTATAAAGAGAATACAAAAATAACCGCCCCCTTTTGCAATTTTCCAACCCCAAGGTGGTTAATATTTACTATTAGTTACACAGTCAGATTGTAATGTGTAACCTAATACATTCATACATGTGAAAGGTATATACCAAAGTATTGGTATGCATGCCGAGCAAAGTTGTATAGACCTTCTTTATTTAAATAACAACGCTTGCAAAAATGAATAATTATAAATTTGGAAAAGTTTACAGTCACGTAACTGTGAATTTTTGTAGAGGAACAAAACAGCTCTTACATGATTTTTAAACTTTATGATATAATTCTTCTTACAATATTGGAGATTGATTCTGATGTACTGTTGTGAATTTCAGTTGGATAACAATTTTGAAAATCGATATTTTCTACCACTGCGTAAGAATAGCACAGAAATCATGGAAACAGTTCTGTAATTTGATTTTTGTTCAAATCATTTTCTGAATGCATTTTTGTGACTTTTTTTGATTTTTAACTTTTTGTGCTAAGTAATAACTGCACACAAGTTTCCAGCTAATTAACCTGGAAAAAGAAGTGTTTTAGGTCAAGTTCCCTGAAGTGTGTCTGGGTTATTTTAATGTTTGTCAGAATTGTCTTACTTTTTAATCCAACTTGTGAACATCTAATATTTTATTTCTTTTTTGTTGTCGTGTTTTTCTATTCACAATTTTGAATTTCTTTTTGTTCATTTCGAACATGTGAACACTTTCTCAATGCCATGATCTGATCATGTGATTGTTCTTATTTTCTAGGTAACTAGCCAGAACTTCATCGCAGTGAATCCTGTGGAACCAAATCTACAGACTCCTTGTATCCTGGGAACAATCTGACATGGTTCACTGATTTCTGAGGTCTAACCTTTAACCCTGTCAACTCCAGGGTGTAAAAATCTAAATGACTTGCTGACAATTTCTGACAAAGGCCATTTCTGTATACCGTACTGAAAAGGACTGTTTCTCAGGTGAGTTCAGTTGGCCACAACCTCCATTAGTGTAAAATTCTCAGGAGAGAAATGTATTCCTATTGATTTTAATGTATAACGAACTGTTGTGGATTTTATATATATTTTTTCTTGTATTACCAAGATTTTGTTGCAGCTCAAAGCAATTTTTTTTTGAAAAAACATTGTTAATTTATATTTGAATGCTATTGTACTGATTATAAGATCTATACACTTGATGAAATCCAGAACATGCAATATTCTAAGATCTGACTCTTCTTGTATTAAGCTTTAATATTGTCAGTGAATCTCCTTTTGTAATTACAGTCTGAGCCTGAATCTGGTGACTCAAGGATATCCTGTGATATTTATAAAATCTAATAATAGCCAGTCATATTTGTCAATGGAAACATAATCATGCTTTGATTTTTGTTCAAATCATTTTATGCGATGAATGCATTTTTGTGACTTTTTTTGTTTTTAACTTTTTGTGCTAAGTACTCCTCCTACAACTGCACACAAATTTCAATATTAATCTTGGCATATAAAGTAGATTTTTAGGTAAGATACATAATTGTGTCTCGGTTTTTTAATTTTGTCAACGAATTGTCTTTTTTTAAAAATCCAAATTTCTGTGAACATTCTAATATTGTGCTCTTTTGTTTTGTTGATTTTTTAATTGACAAATAGACTACACTGTTCACATTGAACTGTATATCGGTTTTTAATTGCCATGATCTGATCATGGATTGTTCTTAAAAATTTTCTAGTGAACTTTCCAAACTTCATCGCAGTGAATTTTGGAACCAAATTCAATACAACTTGGCACACAAGTAACTACACTAAGATACATTCTGTTACGATTTTTGATTTCACCTTTGGCATTGTCACTAAAAATAAAAATTTCTGTAAATTCTTTGTAAATGCCATCTTTGTAAAATTTAGGCTGATTTCAATATACTGTTACAATTATTTGACCACAACCAATCCTATTAGTGTATAATTCATTTCGAGAAATGTATTCCTATTGAATTTGAAAAATATTTCGGAACTTCTTGTGAAAATGCTATTTATTTTTTCTTGTCTTGTTAAGATTTTGTTGAAGCTCAAAGCAATTTTTGAAATGTCATTTGATCAATTTTGTATTTGAATGCTATTGTACTGATTATAAGATAGCAATTTCTTGATGAAATCCAGAACATGCTACTTCTAAATACAGTTTTAGTCTTGTATTATAATTTAATGTTGTCAAGTGAATCACCTTTTGTAATAAAGTTTATTCAAGGATCTGGTGATTCTCTTTTTATCCTGTGATATTTATAAAATCTAATAATACCGTCCAGTCATATTTGTTGACAATAACACCATAATCATGCTTTTTTTATTGTCATAGGAAAACCATGTGTACTTGTATGTAATAGATATTTCATGTCATTGCCTCCTTTGATTAGTAAGAAATGTTGATCGCAATCTAAGTAATTTATGAAAAAATTGAAACTTTTCTTGCAAGGGGTTATCAAAAAGTTGGTGAACAGATTGACTTTTTCTCAATAACACTCAAGTAAAGAACCATCACGTAGGGAGTTTGCACTGCCTAGACATATCATCGCTTACAAAAACATTAACAATTTAGAGTAAGAAGTTAAACTTATATTTGGTTTATTCTATAGATTAATAAAAATTTTTATTAAATGTGTTAAAATTCATTGATGTAGAGCTCTAAACAGTTTTAGTTTTGTTGTGCTAGTCCATAAACGTTTTGATAACCCCTTGTATATTGGTAGAAAGATCATATTTCTGCAAAAATAATTAAGATTCAAAATATTTTTTCTTCAATGACTTTTTATGTTTGATATTTCTGTGTACATTGATGCTTTTTTGTACTGATCAGATACTAGTATATCACATATTTGAAAAATATTTCCCCATTTTAAGGTTCATAAACCCTCTGCTCACTCATATAAATGTTGCTTGATCGAACCTCAATGATTTTCCAAAAGAAATGTATTTTATAAGTAAAATGCAAACAAATTGAACAAAAAAACAACACTTCATCTTGACAAATCTATAAAGGAATAATAGATGTTTATGTCATTAAGAGTTATCTCTCTTATCAGAGTATCGATGAACCTTAAGTCGTGTAAATGGCAACACTAATTAGAATTTGGATATTAACTGAAGGTGCTTTTTACCATCTTGATCATCAATAATAATCATTTTTGTACATTTTCAGTCTTCCAAATTTCAAAGTCTTTGTTTTTATCTCCCTTTTTTTTAGCATTGAACCATAATTTTTATTAAATTAGTAAGATTGCATGTTCAAGCTATGAAATAATTTTCAAACATTACCAATTCCTGAACATATCGTGACAATGTCATATTTATTGTAAATACAAACATAAGCATGTATAAGTCATTTGAAAATGAGGAATGGACATATGATATGATTCTTGATTTTTTGAAGAAAAAAGCTTTATGGTAGGATTTTAAAACAAATTATAATTTTGTGAATTATTTTTCTTTATGTTCAATTAATTTCATTGATAATTATTACTACTCAAAAAGGCAGCTTGATCGATGTACAGTAGGTGATATAGATCTGAAATCCATTGTGTAAATATTTATATACATGTATATATCATTTCTGTAGTTTGTTATTTATTAATATATTTATTACAAACAACATAAAGATATCATGTGTACATTAAAACAGGAGAAAACTACTATTTTTTTCTATATTTTACATCAAAATATTGCCTAACAATTAGTATGAAAAGGTCAGTCAGTATTCGATTGTATTTGTTGAAAAGGTCAATATATCAACAAACAAAGTTACTAAATAATGACTGTAAATGAGTTTGTGGCTGAAATTCTT